ATAAATAGTTCGCGCCGTTATAAATTGTGTATATGTGAGCGATCATTGTATATTATACGCCAAGGGACTAAAGTGTGTGTTTAATCCCGAGGGTGCACCCGCTCGCATACGCTTATCAATACCTCACTTAACGCGGCTCGAGATGCTAGCGGTACTTTTTACAAGATTTTCTATGATTCTCTGAAAATATTCTCCAAATCACCTCTTACAGCTTTTACGCGTTGTCGCGACCAAACTATTTCCTTACGGTCCCGCAATTCCTACTTTTCGCAAATTCAGTCCTTTTTTAATGGGGATATAGTATTACATCAGTTAGCTCATCGGGAAATAAAGCCATTGTGGAACCGCTGATAGTGTTGTTTTTGGAATTGGTTAACAACGTTAAAACCATCTTTGATTGGTAGTAAGAAAGACACTAACCAATAAAAAATTTAGAGATCCCCAATTTGAAGATAATTCGCCATTTGTGGAAGTTTAAAATTTCAACCAGTAATTAAGAGGAGATTGGTTTTAGAGAAATTGGACAGATTCGCGTTTTGACATTTGCAGCGATCCTCTAGAAATGAAGAATTCGCGTTTTGGCATTAAAAAGACCATTTTGGCCTGATAATAAAAGCAGTTCGTGAACCTATTAAATGAAAGATTTTTGTAGGCGGACATATCATGTTAACTCAAAACAAATCCAAATTCAAGTGACGCGATCGAATAAAAAATCAAAACTTAATCCGACCAACGTATCCTGTAAAACAACGAGCGGTAAAAAAGGACAATTATTTAGTTTCAAACGAAGGATAGGCTCATTGTCTCAGTGCGTTCCATTAAGGTAAACAATTTGAAGGTAGAATTAAACTTAGACTCACATTTCGCGAAGGATCATTTTTGTACTAATTAAAATAATTATGTATACGGTGTAGACACAAGACTTTGCAAACAGTAAAGAAAATTTCCTGGTCAGTAAGACCGATAACAATCTCCAACTTTTCGGTATATTCCAAATTTTACCCGGAGTCTACAATTTGAAGAAGAGTTTTAAACAGATCCGTAACGGAGCGTTTGCGTACCTATGTTTATCATAAAATTTACCAAAGAATTAGTTCCTTCCGTATTTACGTTATATTTACACCCTGTATATCTTCTACCATGGGTTGATCTTTTATAGTCTCATAATCAATAATCAAGAACTATTCAATTCTGTTTATTTTCATCTAAATCGCAAATATTCACGATACGATACCGTTTACATCTAATAAAAACTTTATATCCTATCATCAATAAAAACTTTCTGTAAATATTTATATTTCGATTGTTCTATATCTCAAGTGTTATTATTAAATATATTATTAAAATAGAGATAATCACAAATTAAGTTCAATTCAAGGTTTGTTTTACGAGATTAATAACAGAAATGGCCACTTAGGAATCAATTTGTGTATATTTAGGCCCATCTGACCAAAATTATAATTGTCAACACCAACAAACACCAACAAACCATTGCAATAAAAATATTCTGAAAATTCAAAAAGTGGGCGACTAACTATATACCCAAATTTTTGACTTTTGGATAATTAAGTGACGATTAACCAACAAACGTAAAAATGTAACTAACAAACACCAACAAATGATCAACAAACGATTGCAATAAATATATTTTCAACATTCAAAAAGTGGTGGGCTAACTTAACGCCGGTACTGCACCACTCCAAAAGATGTAACTTATTTGGCAATTTTTCGAAACAATGGCTATGCTTTTCTTTACAAAAAGCATCTATGGCCAAATCTCAATAAATAGAAAGTTGGCATTGCGCAATTTACGCATTCGCGTATCTTATTTTTTCAGTATGCGATATGTTTGCCTTTAATAGAAGCATCTGTGGTTAAAATTGTTCAGTTTTTGCTCTATATCTCCTAAACTAGGCATTTTTCGAGGAGAGCCACTATATACGTTTTTGAAAAGAATTAAATGTATGACAATTTACGTTCAATCGGAGCTCTGTAGGTGAATTACCGAATTACGGCAAATAATTAATCAACAATTTCACAGATTCCAATTAAGGCAGAAATCCAAGTTGAATAAATTGTAAGTAGGTACCAATGTTATTAGTCAACGAGCTAATGTGTGCAGAAATGGTAGTAGAGTAGCAAGTGCCCTTTAGGATCGTTGTAGGTTTTTGTTAGGCTTAGTCCCTTTCGTCGGCATCGCAATGATTCAGTACGTATTCAGACTGTCTCAGCAAGCTACATATTTAACCACTTTGGGAGAAATGTATGTGAAGTTCTTGATGGGTATCCTGAGGATGGCGCTCAAAAGAGCACCAAATTTGCAGAGCTATCACGATGGTAGTCTGTAGCATCAGCGGAAATTGTGTCTAACGCATCGTCCATCATCACAATCCCGTCAAGGGAAGAATAACAAGGTTTGTCTCATTGAGCATCTCTGTCCTGCGTATTTTGCTGCTTAACAACATTGAGTTTTGAAACTGAAAAAATTTAGATTACTTTCGGAGATATCCGGACAAAACCGAAATTTTGCAAAATCATTTTTATTTTTTACTGAAATTATTAAAAAAAATTTTCAAAATAACTAACACATTATTATGGCCACTTTTTTCCTTCTACAAGATACTAGTTTTAAATTTTAGATCCGCCATAATAAAGTATCACATATTTCGAAATATCTTTAATAACTTCACTAAAAAATAAAAACGTTTTTGCAAAATTTCGTTTTTTTTTCGGATATCACCGGAATTTTTTCAGTTTTAATACTGCATTTTGTTAAAATTTAAATACCCAACTTTGCCAAATTTGAACTACCTACCTATCTCTTAAAGTTCCCGAGATCCCCATGGTGGCCTTCGAATTTGAATTTTTGGTAAAATGCCGAAAATCACGCCGTTTTTCGTGTGGTCCACTTTTTCCACGACTTTTAGAGAGATGCAAACTTAGGTATACACTACCGTAATGGGCCCAAACAACATACTAAACAAGTATAAATTGTGCAGATAAAACATTAACAACGAAATTTGATGGCCGTCTGGCACACTTTCCAGGTATAGGCTACATATTGCAAAAAATTCTAGGACTCTAGAACCATTCCTCTAAAAATAGTGCAAAGCTGCAGAAGTGAACGGGCAGACGGACAAAACGCAAACAATAGCACATTTTTTTAATTCTTAAAAAATGCGCTAAAACAAGAGATACATCACGTTTTGTTGATTTATTGTCGATTTTGACTGGCCTACAGATGCCAGGGCTATAAGCTACCGAATTCCAAAGAACGAACTAAATATACAGGGTGTTCATTTGAAAACTTCCCACCACGGATTTATCAAAAATGTTCACTATCCCAAGACTGTCACAGCGGTAACTGACAGCAAATTTACAAATCAAATTCTTGCTTTCCCATAGCAACAAATAAGTGATATTTTCGTTTGTTTTTGTTTTCTATCTGACCAAATTAAGATAGGTAGATTAAATAAATTAAATCAAGATTTTTCTAATTTTCTCAAAAACGAATCGACCGGTTAAAAAAAAATCAAACGCCAAAATAAAGGACTTCGAAAGGACTTCCAAACAATGCTATTACTCGATACCACTTGTCATTTAAAATTTGTAAGGATTTTTGTTAAAAAGTTATTCCCCTTGTCTCGGCATTTTTTTTCCATTAATCAGTGGTTTTCGATAAATCCGCGGAGGGAAGTTTTCAAATGAACACCCGTACATACAGGGTGGCCCACTGAAAACAGTTAATGCCAATTTTTCCCACTTAACGACAGTTTTGCCAGAAACGTTCGAATACGTCAATTTTAGTTTTGAGAGGGACATCGAAATTAAGTACTTACATAACTTTAACCCTGAGAAGAGGGTGAATTGCACCCTAAAAATTTTAAATGGGAAGTGGTAGAAAATGTTAAATAGGTCGAAAGGAATGTTTCATTATGTTTTCAAAACTGTTTTTATTTTTCAAATCCGATCAGTAGTTCCAGAGAAAACTATTTAAATGGATTTGCAGAGCCGTTTTAAAAGTTTATTAAGTAGGCGTTGAAGTTGAAATAATTGAGAGCTTGTGTCAGAAAAGAACATTTGACATAAGTGCAATAAGTGCACAAACAATGAAGCGAATTTGTGATTAACTTGTTTAATTTTGTGGTAAATTCAAAAACAATGACGGTTTACACTATAGCGCAAAGGGTGGAAATTGTTTCGACTTTTTTTTAATGGTGATTCTGCCTTTACAAATTCGCTTCCATGCTTGTGCACTTATTGCACGTATGTCAGATGTTCTTTTCTGACACAAGCTCTCAATTATTTCAACTTCAACGCCTACTTAATAAACATTTGAAACGGCTTTGCAAATCGATCACATTTGAAATATAAAAACCGTTCTGAAAACATAATGAACATTCCTTTCGACCTATCTAACATTTACTACCCCTTCCCATTTAAAATTTTTAGGGTGCAATTCACCCCCTTCTCAGGGTTAAAGTTATGTAAGTAGTATTACTTAATTTAGGTGTCCCCCTCAAAACTAAAATTGACGTCTTCGAGCGTTTCTGGAAAACTGTCGTTAAGTTGGCAAAATTGGCATTGACTGTTGACGTCTCGGAAGGATGGCCAGATGGACAGACAGAGAAAGTGGCTGCAATAGCGCACCCAACTTTGTAGGAAAATGTCCTTAAAACTGTAACATTATACAATTAATATTAAATTAGACCTTAATTTAATCACGGCATTGATTTTTATTCTGCCGGATTTGCGGCGAAGTTACCTAAGTGGTTGAGCTTTGAAATAAAGGAACAATCCATTATTTTCTAATTATAGCAATAAATTAGCATTTAATTAGCGTTTAAGAAATGAATTTTGGGGTAGTCTAACACGCTGGAATTTTTAAATGGAAAAAACAAATGACTTTTTATTATTTTCCGCCCCAAATTTGTTCTGATAAAGTTGCTTGCCCACCCACTTTCAAGAAGGATAAAAAAGTTATTCCAGAATTTTTTCAGGACGTAACAATGCCATCGACGAGATCGATTACGAAACGGGTGGCCGAATTGCCGTCTTTACGTTACGGATCAATCGGAAACAACAGCATCAAATCCGGTCCACTGCGCGTATCAGAATCGTTTCCGAAAGAAGTTAATAGACGAAAAAATCATTTGTCGCGCCTTTCAGATCCTCAACTTTTGAAAGCGGTAAGTTGACAATTGACTTTTCAGTGTGGAAACCAATCCTTCAATTCTAGGCACGACGCGTACGCTTCGACCTACCACCGTCAGATGGCGGCGGAGGTTTAATAGACGCCGACGCCGTCGACGTCGTTGAACAGACGGCGGGATACGATTTACACTTACCAACACGCGTTACTGTCAGTCAACATTCAGATATTCTTAAACAAGGCTACGTCAGCCAATTGTACGACGCTCGACGTGTGTTTGCAAACAAAGGGGATCTGTCGGACGATAGCGGTGTATCCGTCACAATATCACCAGCATCAAGATATCGTGTTCATCCCACCGGCCGCTACATTCGCGGCACGCTGTCTCCCACGGCGAATTCGGCGGCCCCAGCGGCCGCATCCCCCGGCGGCATCGCGATCCTTCGCGCCGCACGGGACGGAGATGATGGACCGCTCAGAGACACCCTCAGGAGATCACTTCTTGTCGGAATATCGGAAGTGGATTTAAACGCGATCGACAGTAGTGGCAGGGGAAGTTTGGTTCTTTTAATTAACCCCATCACCTAATCGCGCGCTTATTAGCCAATGTAATCAACCTCGGTCGATATATAACTTGATCGGTTTAGATAAGTGGCCTCGTTAATTATTCAAAATGAACCTAAGTCGAATAAATTGGGTCAACATTGAAGTTTGCTTGTAGCTGAAAGCAACAGGATTGGGTGACTGAACTCTTCAAAAAAACATTGAAGTATGCAGTTTTACGCGAATTTTTTTTTCGCTTTTGATGGTCAATGACAAATTGTAAATGCCTAACGTTTCTGGCAAAATTTCAAAGGAATTAATTCCGCGTAACCGTATTTTTAATCCGGACGGGAAATTATCGCAATTTCACTTAGTTGTCGGAATCGCGCTTTGAAATTTCTTGAAAAAATTCCAACTCCATGTAGGGGTAGGTACAAGTTCGTGTAAAAATCAATTTTACTTTCAGGCTTATTGCAATTAAAGTTTAATGAGATGAATAACTATAAACGCTCTCATTATAAAGTTATAAACTTATAATTGAATAGATAACGAAGAGTAGGTAGTACTTGACTTTCCTTTGCAACATATAATGTAATTTGAAAATTAACTTGTTGCATAATTTGCAATTTTTGACCTACATTGTTTATATTTGTACTCAATTACTCTTAAGTGGCTATTTATAATTCTGGCATTTGAGCGACATGCATGCTGTACATTTCCTCATTTCAATCTTCGTGCGCTTCGGTCACATGATCTCTTGTACAAATTACCTCAACTTCGGTGCTTTCCCAACTGCTCATTTTAGGTTCGCTCGGATTACAGTAATTTGGAAACGGTTTCAAGGTTGGCTTAGCATTCTGGCAGAAAGCATTACACAGTGTCTAAACTCATTTGCATCCCTTAAATCAAGCAGTTTTCCAAGCGTAAATAAAGCAGCATGTCAGTTATATCTATGAAGTGTACGAAGAATTTAATCTTGTCTTACATTTTGTCTCTTTAGCCGATGTGGCATCCCAGCTGAATCAGTTTGAGTGACCAAAGAAGTCATGAGATAGACCCATTCGCTAACTTTACATATTATGATCCTTTTTGTTGATTTTCCTCAAATACCCTCTTTGGAGTCCAGTCTACCACTGTTCCACTAATATAATGTTGTAGTGTTTTCTTACGAAAATCATGATTCTACACGTAAGGCAAACTGAAATAGAAAGGAAAAAATTATAGAAGATATATTTCCCACAAAAAACTTCACGATAGCATTTATGCTTATTTTTATGAATAATTAAATTAGAGGCGTATTTCCGTATTGATTTCCGCAATAACACTTATTTGGTTACGAAAAAAGTTTCTTTACGTTTTGTGTTATGTGCAGTCAGCGCAAAAAGGACTTTGAAAACTGAAAATGTTTTTGTAAGAAATGTGTTCGAATTGCTTAGTGTCTTGAAATAAATGCACCGGATCGTGACTTTCGTAACAAAGCACCATAGAACTTAATGTTTTTCCAGTCTTTCTTTGCAATGCATCGACCACGATATTGCTTCACAATATAACTAGCAGTTCGTCTCTATTTCACACTGTGGTATGCACTACTTTATTTTTTTAGAAACATGCCATTTCCACGGCTTCTTCACGATTGTTTACCCTTTGCATTCTGTTTCTGTTATCTGGTTTGGTCGATATTCAGATTTTGTACAGTAAGATTACCTATTCTTATAATATATCGTTGCTTATATACCTTTTTTCCCCTAGGCTTTATTATACAGGGTGTTCATTTGAAAACTTCCCACCACGGATTTATCGAAAACCACTGATTAACGGAAACAAGTATAAATTGTTATGAAAACGCATTTTTTAAACCGAAATAGCTTATATTAGTAAATGGTTGTGTTATAAGGTTTAATAGAATGGTATATTTATCTGTTTTCTTTCTTGTGCTATGGTTCGTAGAAATTAATTCTTTTCTTTAAGACCTTTTATTAGAGTGTCATGAAGAATAAAACCAGTTTCACCCCCACCCCCATTCCCGCGCCCCAAATCCCTTCTTTTGATGAGTCAGAAAGTAGGGCAATAGTTGGTAGAAAACAGTTCGTTTTGTTGAGATCTTTAATTGTAATACCATGAAACAATCATGAAGGGTAGAACGTGTGTTCACCCCCGCCCCCCATTTTCAAACATTTTACTTTGCACCACTAAAGCATGCATATGCAAAATCTGAGACCATGGTTGTCGTATGTAAAAGTTATGCACGTTTCACTTTCAAAAACAGCCTCTCAGGAAATAATTCGTGGGGAGGGGGGCCCTTTTAGACAGCGAAATTTGATGGCCGTCTGGCACACTTTCAAGGTATAGGCTACCTACTGCAAACAATTCCAGGACTCTAGGATCATTACCCTAGAAGTAGTTCGAAACGGAAGAAGGACGGGCGGACGGACGGACGGACAAAACGCAAACAATAGCACATTTTTTTTAATTCTTAAAAAATGCGCTAAAAATCAAACGTCAAAATAAAGGACTTCGAAAGACCTTTCTTACAAGCTATTACTCGATACCACTTGTCATTTAAATTTTTTAAGGGAATGACCCTGGTGGGCAGAGAGTGGAGTAGTTTTTAGTTAAAAAGTTGTCTCCCTTAACAAATATTGTTACCCAAAATCGTCCTGAAACCTTCATTTTCATGCCTACTTTGTGTCAGGAAATTTTGGTTTCCATGACAAAGGCAGAACAAACTACATTTCCTGGCGCCCGTCACTTTACTGGCCGCCCCTGTCAGTTTTTCGGCCGCACAGTCACTTTACCGGTCGCATCTGTGACATTGCTAAATGTCTATAATTACTACCTGTCATCACTGACAGATTGACATTAATCAAAAGTTCTATATACGTATACATCGAAATGTTATATTAAAACACGATTTCGAGTAAAATTTAATGCAAAACTCGTCAGTAAAATGACATTACTTGACTCGCAAATTAAAGTACTCGGTCCCAAAAGGGCCTCGTACTTCAATATTTCCTCGCCAGCAATGTGACATTTTCCTGACTTTTATGTAAATAACTATTACGTGTCTCGACGTTTTTTCCTTTAATTAGTGGTTTTCGATAAACCCGTGGTAGGAAGTTTTCAAATGAACGCCCTGTATATCCCTTGCTGCTGGTTTCTACGATACGTTTTTGCAAGCTAAGTAGGTACATAATCCTTACGACATCTTGCAACGGGTTTGCATAAATGACTGAATTTCATTTTCTTTCCGAAATTAAAATTTTGAATTTCTAAATGAAGTCGCAAATTCCTTATTTTAATTTATTATTATTTTGCCTCGGGTAAGCTCGATTAGAGTAAACGTAAACTCCAGGAATCGGGCGCGTTCGGCAAATGGCGGCGGTCACCTCGGAAAAACTAAAACAAAATTATCGCAGACTCCCTAGCGGGAATGAAATACAAAACACAAAATAATTAGTGGTGCCTACGGGAAATTAAATGCAGGAAAGAGAAACAATATATATAACTTGTGCGAAGATGCAAAAACCAAAAGATGCAAAAGGCAAAAAATCCCTTCTACATTAATCGGTTGCCTTATATTCTTATATACTTCCCAAAATAAGGAGAGGGCACGTAAGAAAAGCCAGGCCGGACGGTGTGTTCGGTTAATACTGTCCAAAAAAGACTACTCACGACGTAAACGAATGCTGTTTAATGCATCTTATTAAATTAGCTACGGATCATTTATACTTACTTCATTTGCCGGATAATATTTCTATATTCATCTAATTAACCCCCATTGTCTCTTGGAATTAGTCAGGTCGGCAAATGGTTTCTTATCAAAACTGATATCGGCGTAAACCTGTATGGCCTTACAGTTTTAATGCTCCTTTCAAATTACCATGGGAAACCCAAACCGGCTTATAATGATTTAACAGGTCTGAAATTCTAAAATATTAATGTGCCTCCGTCTTCCAAATGACAAGGGCTTTCGGACTCAAAACAAAGGTCATTGAAGCAACTTGACGGGTGCAAACAGCGAACAAATTACAGCTTCTGTTTACGGTAACGGTGGCTGCACGTCGGAATGTTAAGTAGAAGAGCCAAAGAGCATATGTGCCAATTTTGGTAGCTTTACTCACTGCGAACTTTTTTCCCATTCTTCCAGACTATAATAGCTCACTGCGAGGCGAGGACTAACGAAACTGATTTAATTTGTTTTGCAATCGAATTTTTATTGTCACTTTAAACTGCTTATTTATTCGCCGGAAAAGTTCGCTCGTACTTTTATAAAATTTCGATAGTTCTAAATACCAAACAATCGCACGCCGGTTTTACCGAAACATTTCTAGTGAATTTCCATGATAACTCTTTCTGAATAGGTTTACGTAACCTCCAGTTAATCTGCTTTTCAACGAAACTGCGTTCCCGATATAACGAACGTCAGTACACAAATCTCGTAGATTTATTTTAGAATGTGTCACGTACACTTCTGTACTGAATATTTTCGCAACCCTTCGATTTCGGATTGACGAACGATCTTTTCGCTGACTTTAATTTCAGGTTCCTTTACCTGAGCTCCACGAAGGCTCAAACGCGAATTGAATTAACGTATCCGAGGAAACTTTTGTTTCGTGTTGACGCTCCGGTGGTGCAAAATTGAAGGCCTTCCGTTATCTCTGATGGACGAGTCCCTACTATTTTTTAAATTTCTAACACGCCTACAAAATGATGATAATAGACTAATCGGCCATCTTTAATCATTAACCTTCGTTTCCTTATTGGAATCTAATGTCTACAAAGACCACCAATTAAAACCCACTAGATTCTCGAGTTCGCGCTTCTCACGATGCCCCATGGCATCATGAGTAATTCTGCTTCAGCTGTTTTGCTAACGTAAGAGACACTAAAATTGTGTTAGCGCCCGGCAGACTGGCGCTGATAACTAATCAATCACGACGCATCCGGCATCACCCACAAAATATAGATCGCCAAATTCATTAAGATTAAGTCAATGGAGTCTTAATGAATTTGGCGATCTTGGAATGAGCCCAAAATCAATCTCC